TTATTTTATTAATTAATTTAATCAAATACTTTAAATTTAATTAATTATGTTAAAAAATTTCAACTTTTAGCACTTAATTCATAACTTAACAGCTTATGCTAATTTTAAAGAATACACGTCATATCCAACGAGTATGAGAAAGAATAAGAGCATCTCCAATGCTAGGTTTTGGTTCTTAAGTTTAAACTCTCATTGTTTATAAGAAACCTATATTGAAGCATGTTGACATGGCAGGTTGCTTAAGAATAAATATTAAGTTTTGGATCTTCAATGTTATATTTAAATTACGTGATTTTAAAGTAACGTTTAATTGTGATAAATAAAAACAGAACTAAATAGAAAGTTAATTTAAAAAAAAAACTCTCTTATAAAATATTTTTGTGAAAAAATCGCTCATCCTTATATATCGTGGTTTATTTTAAAAAAAGTTAATATTTTTGAAAATTTAAAATTCTCGGACCAAAATAACTTTAATTTTTTTAATTTCTCCATTTTTATTCCAGTAAGTTTATTTGAAACACTTTTTTTTAATCTGAAATAATTAAATAGTCTCTTTATATCAATTTATTAATTACTTCATTAATTAATTTTACCAAACATTTTTAATTTAATTAATCATATTATAATTTTCAATTTTTTGGCACTTAGTTTATAGCTTAATAGCTTATGGTAGTTTTACCGAATACACTTAATATTTTAAGTGGGTATGAGAAAGAAATATTAATTATTAAATTTACGATTATCAAGTTTAAATGTAAAAAACATGATTTTTAAGAAACATTTAATTATGATAAACTGAATTTTAGATATAAAATTAAATTTCTTTTAAAATGTTTTTCATAAAATGTACTGACAAATGACAATAATGTCGATTATATTTTATATATAGTGATTAATTTAAAAAAAAAAGGTCAAATTTCTGGAAATTTTAAAATTTGTTGATTAAAATAATTTTAATTTTTTTTTATTTTTGTAAATTTATTTGAAACACTTTTTTTTTAATCTCAAATAATTAAATAGTCTTTTATAGTGGGAGAAGGAGTTAAAGCATGATTGAGAGGGTATATTTTTTATTTTCTTCGTATTTTTGAAATCTTTCTTATGAATGAAAAAAACATAATCTTCTTATATTTATTCATTAATCAGTTTTATCAAACATTTTTAATTTAATTAATTATCTTAAAAAATTTCAACTTCAACTTATAGAAATTTTATGGAACACACTTAATATTTAGCGGATATCGGAAATAAATATTAATTATTATTTTTTTTGTTAACATTAAATGTAAAATATGTGATTTTTAAATAAATGATAGGTAAAAATTGAATTAGATATAAAGATAACAATTTTTTTTTACAATTTTTCTCGTAAATTGTATTACCTAAAAAAGTTGTTTGTGTTTTTTTTAATATAGTGATTAATTTTAAGAAAGTCAAATTTCTTGAAATTTTAATATTATTTAATTAAAATAAGTTTAACTTTTTTATTTTTCCATTTATATTCTCCTAAGTTTATTTGAAACACTTTTATTTTTATCTCAAATAATTAAAAAGTCTTCTTGTAGTGGTTTGTGAGGAAGGGGTAAGTGAGAGGATCTGGGTATGATCCTCGTCAAATCCTTGTAATTTTTTTTATGGATAAAAAAATAGTCTTCTTTTTATCAATTTATTAATTAGTTTTACCAAACATTTTTAATTTAGTTAATTATCTTAAAATTTTTTAACTTTTTAGCACTTAGTTCATAACTTATTAACAATTTATGGTAGTTTTATCAAACACACTTAATATTTAGTGGGTATGAGAAAGAAATATTAATTATTAAATTTTGGATTGTCAAGATTAAATGTAAAATATGTGATTTTTAAAAGAAATATTTAATTATAATAAAAAAAATTGAATTAAATATAAAATTAATTTTTTAAAAAACTTCTTGTAAAATGAATTACACAAGAAATTTGTTCATATTTTATATATATTGGTTGATTTTAAGAAAGTAAAATTTCTTGAAATTTTAAAATTCCTCAACCAAAATAACTTTAACTTTTTTTATTTCTCCTTTTTTATTCTCGTAAATTTATTTAAAACACTTTCTTTTATTTCAAATAATTAAATAGTTTTTGTGGAGAAAAGATAGACACAAGAAGGGGAGCTGAATAATATATCAAAATCCCATATGTTTACAAGTATGTAAAGTAGTATCTGCAATAAATGAATGGTTAGTAAGAGTAATCCATTAACGCATGAAGTTTTTATACTAGTTCACCTCAACCACTAAGGTTACATCTAGTTCTCAATCCAATCAGATTGAGTCTCAATAACTTTCAACAAAGTTACAAGTGTTATTTTATCAAGCCACTCTTAGGTTAAACAAGTGTTCTTTGACTGATCTCTTCAAATCATTATCTAAGTATTCTTTTTACAAACATTAGCATCTCTAAGCTTAATCCCAAATATTCTTTTACAATTAAGTCTCTCCAAGCTCTACCTTATAACAATAATTATGAAGATATTACAAGGTTGCAATTGTTGTATCTTTTAGATGTGATTTCAACAAATGTTTAAGTATAAAAAAACTCTCAAAAAAGATTTTCTATGAGCTGTATATTTTCTCTGTATCTCAAAATTTTTCTATGTATGACTTGAGTTCCAAATCATCTTACAGAGTAAGTCGTTTTGAAAGAGATGATCGTTACAACTTCGTGAGTTCGATTCATAAAATTATTTCTTCTTACTCCTTCATCTGATCTAGAGTAGTATCCATTGATGCATTAAATGTTTCAATTAATGACTTTTACCTAATTAACGTACTCCTTATTTGTGATAGATCAAGTTACTTAACATAGCAAAGTATCAAAATGGGAACAACAAAAAGCAAAGTCAGTATGTAGCGAGGATACAGTCCTTTTCGTGCGTATTTTTTTTATTTAAAAAATTCGAGATCTTTGTCCTTTGTTCTAATGTTCTAGATGCTTTTATACACTTTTAACAAAAAGTGAGTTCCAAGATAACGACTTTCGATCTGTTAAGACATAAAACATATTCATTTGAAAATTTAAAAAAGCTAGTCATAATAAATAATGAACGTTAGGAATAATTGTATGTTTCATCTTCTAGACATTACTTTATCTTATAAAGTATAAAATAATGACTTTTTAAAAACGTTTTCTTACTGAAAGACAGAGTGTTTGTTATCATTAAAATTATGTAAAATAAGGGATCTAAGATCGTCTTTTAACTTAATAATTTTCTTATACCAATTTATTAATTATTTTATTAATTAATTTTATCAAACTTTTTTAATTTAATTAATTATTTTAAAAATTTTAAACTTTTTAGAACTTAATTTATACCTTAAAAACTTATGGTAGTTTTACCAAATTACACACCTTAACAGCTTATGGTTGTTTTACCAAATCACACTTAATATTTAGCGAGTTTGAAGAAGAATTATTAATTATTAAATGTTGAACTATCATGATTAAATGTAAAATACGTGGTTTTTAATGAAAAATTTAATTATGTTAGATAAAAACTAATTAGACACAAAATTAATTTTTTTAAAAAATTCCCTTGTAAAAAGTTCTTACGCAAAAAAGTAGTTTATGATAGTGGTTGATTTTTAAAAAGTCAAATTTCATAAAATTTTAAAATTTTTCAACCAAAATAATTTTAACTTTTTTATTTCTCCATTTTTATTCCCCTAAGTTTATTTGAACCACTTATTTTTTATTTTTTTTATCTCAAATAAGTAAATAGTCTTCTTATATTAATTTATTAATTAATTATATAAAATATTTTTAATTTAATGTAAAATACGTGATTTTTAAAGAAACGTTTAATTTTATGGTCAAAATTTAGTCATATGTAATTGAAATTGGATGGTCAAAATTGAAAAATAAATACATATTGCAACATTTATGCCAACATTTTATCCAGCCTATGAAATAAAATAAAACTTCCTTTCCCAGATAAAAATAAAAATAGACTTCTCTTGCAGACATGCTCCCTTTTCTTTGTGCCAATACTATTCTCAGTGTCTGGTTCTTTTTTCTTTTCGATTCTTTTTCTATGTACGAAAGAAAAAGGTAAAATGAGAGTTTTTTCGTTACCCTTCTACAGTTCAATGCACACACGATTCCACAAATATAGAGTTCTTAGAGTTTATTACAAACACTTTCGAACATTTTTCTATTAAAAATAAAAAATATTAATTTTTTAATAAAAAACTTTCAAAAACACTTCTAAACTTATATTCAAACATATACTCTTATTCCTAAAACTGAGATAATCTCCTACTACATTTATTTTCACTTTAAGACAGTACCTTTTCTTTTTAAAAAAATGTAAACACATCCAACTTAATTATTTTCAAAATTTTCCTTCGATATTAAAGTTTATTAGAATCATTTATATGAAGTGTCTACCATATTTGTCAATGGTTAATATTTATAAAAGAATTTAATTTTTCATAAACGAATTACAATCAAATTATTTTTCTCTGCAAGACTTGAATTCAACATCTTATTTAAGAAAACTGGATTCAATTTGACTCAAATCAATCGGTAAAACTTTGATAATTTAAATATGAAAACATTCTACTCGATTAATTTGAACGATATAATTTAGGCATCTTTCCTTTCTTTTCTAGATATTCCATGCTTGGAAAAATCGTTCATTTTAGAAAAGTCATGAATATGTTAATTAGCCATGCTTTGGTCAATTGACCATTAAATGCTTAATCAAATTCAAAATCAAATGTTTACCAGCCTTTTCTGACTTGGAATTCTTTTTCGATTCCACTTTGCTCATTGGCTTATATTTCAACCTAGTGATTAATTAGCTATAAACAATGCATATTCTAGAAAACTAAGACAAGATTTTTGTCTTCCTAGAAACATGCCAAATAGTATTATGATTATAATAATATCGTTATGAGAACTATAATATATACAAAGCTTTCCCTGCCTAGCTGTTTACAAGAATTATAGCTAATACAATATTTGTTAGAATATATTGAAGAATTCCACTCAGCACATCAAGTTTGAAATTATTACACGCAATTATGAAGTCTTTTGGTTCCTCTACGGCGAGATGCTTTCCTTTTCCACGGCTTGAGAACAAACCACTACAAAATTCCACTTCTCATGGCAGCTTTCATCACAAGAAAACAAGTAAGAATCAACTTTTCTTCCTTTGCATGGTATTTCTCATCACACCAATTCACAATACTATGTGTGTATTTGAATTACTGTTTCACTCGTATAAAATTTTCATTTATGCATTGGAAATTAAGTGCAAAACTTTCGTCCAAGGTCATTCTAACGGATGTACCGTTCTCTTGTACCTATGCAGGTAAAGAAAGTCCCATGAAGAACACAGGAAAAAGCAGCAGTATTACGCATAGGATTCATGACCATGGTAATTCAAAGTCGAGAAATCACACCATAGCATTTTACAAGAGTAAATATAATTACACTAAGGTTTCCTCTCTAGTACTGAGGTTTCAAGAAATTGCACACACTTTTCTATTTTTTCTGTCCTTACACCAACTTTTTTATTTTTTTTTATTTTTTATTATCAACTCTTGCATTAATCCATTTAATTGTTTGAAAAACATTATAGTAATACTTTGAGATTTCTAAAAATTACACATACACCTTCTGCTGTTTTTCTTATCCTTACACACTAATTCTCTTAATTGTTTGAAAACCATTATAGCAACACCTTTTATATATTACACTAAATCTCTTTCACTGATTAAAATTTTTTATACCGTGTTCTCTTGTAATAGATGTTATTTATAAACATTAAAAAAGCAATAAGGATTATATGTAATCTCACGAAACCTTAGGAATATAATATCGATGTAATTTATATAAAGTTATGAGAAAATTTGATCAATTCTATTGAACATTAGATTAATTAACTTATATGTGTACTACTGCAGTAAAAATGGGTCCTAAACTGTCTGAGATGGTGAAGGGTAAGTTGAGTTTGGGTGCAAGGATTATACATGAAGGAGGAAGGGGGAACATTTTCAAGAGTGTTTTCGGGATGCAAGAAAATGAGCAATTGTTAAAGGCCTCTCAGTGTTATTTGTACACCACAGCTGGTCCTGTTGCTGGAATTCTTTTTGTCTCAACTGAAAAGGTTGCATTCTTCAGTGAAAGGCCCATAAACTTTACTTCGGTGGATGGAGCATTAGTCAGGGCACCTTACAAGGTAGTCTTCATTTATAACTCAACTTTAGTGTGTTTAAATATATTTTTAAATTTTCAAATTTAAAATTATTTGTAAGTTCAAATTTTTTTGTTTTAGTCTATTAAAACTACCGATTATATAATTGACAGTGACAAATTGAGATAATTATGTTGAATGAATAAATATGTGATATATTAATTAACAATGATAATAATAGGTAAATTTTGTGTTACAAATTCAATAATAGATGAATTTCATTTAACAAATTCATTAACATATTTGAAGAAAATTAAAACAAGATTTTCTTGTAAAGATTAAAAAAAATAAATTTTAGATTTGAGAGAGTAAAAATAAATTTATCTCATATTTGATATATTAAAAATATATTTAAGTTTTAAATTAATTATTTCATGTTTCTTATTTATTGCACTCTTGTGATGTGTGAAGGTTCTTCTTGTTATGTTTGCAGGTTTTGATACCAATAGGGAGTATTAAAGAGGTACATGAATGCCAGAATGTGATGAAGGTAGAAGAGAAGTACATAGAGATATTGACTAAGGATGATTCTGAATTTTGGTTTGTGGGGTTTTTGCGGTATGAGAAAGCTCTCAAGAATCTCAATAAAGCCATTTCCATATCCAATCAATTATGAAAGGAGAAAGTTATTAATTTTCTAGATTTTTTTAGATTTTGTATTTATTATCATTAAAGGGGAGGTTTTCTCACACGAATGAGATGTTCTTAGTTTCTGGATGTTGCCTGTCCTGTATTAGTTTCAGTCCCTATCAATTGGGGATTAAGAGCCACTGGTGACTTAACTTGTATATATATGCCTCAGAAAAAGGCATCAGTGTAGTCCATCGTGAGAGGTGGTGAATGAAACATGGCTTAGTTAGAACCGTGAGTCAAATAGCAGCCAAATGTAAACAAAAAATAGTAGACTTGAATCAGTAGAAGGATTTTACCCCCCCAGAAATATCATTATAAAACTTAAAAATAATTAAAATTTGCTCCTAAATATAAATAGTTTTGAATATATATATATATATATATATATATATATTATAACTATTCCAAAAACTCTAATTATAATTAATTTGTTTGGTTATAACTCAAGAATCAATGATATTTATAATTTTAAGTGATCATGTCACTACATGATGTTAAATAATCCTCTCAACCGACACTTTCAATTATCAATATCTAATATCATATTAGTATGTGATATTAATAATTTTTTAATCTTTAAAATAAATATTACTTATTTATTTTAAATGAATATTAAAGACTAACAATAATGATATTATATTATAAAAAATAAAAATAAAAAATATTTTATAGTGATTAGAATTAATTTTTCTTATTTTACTTAATTTAAAAAATAACGATTCTAAATTCTTAAACGGAATTATTTATAATAAACTTAATGAATATTTAACACTACTAGTGTAATTTGAAAAAAAGAGCTATGCAGTTATTTGGTTTAGCACACAAGTAACACAGGAGTAAGAAAGTTGAGAACGAAAGGGATATATATAGAAATAAGATGATAAAGCGGTTATTCATTAGTGATCTAAGTGACTTCTTTTCCTTCACAAAATGTGCACCAAATTAAGGAAGTGCACATTTATTATATTCATACAATCATGTCATTTCCAAAAACCACTAGTCTGATTTGACTAGCTAGTTTTATATTTTTATTCATTTAGTGTTGGTTTGGTTGGAACTTAATAAACTTAGGCCCTCTTGAACATAATCCTGAAGGATGGAACCTTATCACTAAGAGACAAATGCTTGTAACCATCATCATCAACATAAATCCCAAGTTCCCTGCACAAAGTCTGGCATTTGCACACTGAGGGACAAAAAGAGAGCACATAGTCTTTCTCAGCCTTCTCAATCTTGAACCAGTTCACAATGGTGTCAATTCCTGGATTGCCCTCAATACCACCAGTGCTCAAAAACCACACCCCAGTTAGCACTTTGAGGAGCTTCCACACTGGGGGTTTGGCACAAGTACTACTTGTGACATAGGACCTGATGTTGAGATCAGTTGATGTTAGTATGAGACCAGTTTTGGCATTGTAGGGTGTGAAAGTAACTGGGGTGCCCTTCAACACTTCAAGCTTCTCTTGAACCACAAAGAGGGGGCACGTGTCATTGTTAGCACTGGTGCTTGCAACTGTTAGGCCACCACCTTTGCCTCTTGTGACTGGCAAAATATAGTACTTGACTCCTGTGATCAGTTTCTGGCCTGAGGTGTCAAGCACTGGCTCAGGTGCTGCACCAGTTGTAACAATGAAGAATGTGAAGGCAAAACAAATGAGGCAAAATATTGCTAAGACCTTCATGTTTCTCAGTTTATTTGATGTAAGATAAGATTAGATGGGGCTGTTTCTGTGCACAGATGAGGAAAGTATAGCCTCCTTTATTTATAGGCTTCAAAGGGGACATGAGTTTTGTGTGTTTTTCATCGAGAGGAATTGTTTATAGACCAGTGCTTTCTATAATTTCAAAATAATGTTTGATAAATAAAAATTATATTTGTTAAACGTAAATTATTTTTTAATTATTAATTTTAAAATATTGCTTGAATTATATCATAAATTAAAAAATTAAAATATATAATATTAATTAGTGACATTTTTTTAATATATTTGATTTTTAATTAATAGGAAGACATTGTTAACTAGAGAGTATTGGAGCGACTCTGAGTGACAATGTTTTGTTGGATCAATTCAATTTGCTTAAAGACAATATTTGTTGGGGGGAGAATGATGAGTTAGGGGAGTGGGTTGTGGGTCATATATAGTTGAAATCTTATATTTATTAATAAAGTTCCCTCTATGATTGTATAGTGAGGACACGGGTTCAACACGAAGATGTATATCGATGTAAGTGAACGTCTTTCCCCACAACCTTATCTCTTAGTAATCTGCAAATTCTTTACACATGTTCATCGTGATGGAACTATAATCAGTGTCCAAAAGTCATTTTCAGATTATGACAGACGAAATAATTATTTTCAAAATTCTTTTCGTTTAAATTATGTGTATACTTCCACCTTTATAATGTTCTAATAATTAGATCTATATTTTCAAACTTTCAAACTGTACTGGTTGTCAAAATTATTTTCTTTTAAATTTTGTGCATACTTTCACCGATATACTGTTTTATTTGGTTGAGTTGCACTCGTTGGCCTTCATAATTCATATCGCGTTTAATGGCCGACAGAAGAGCATCGATCACTTTGGTTTGTTTCCTCGGGTACATGATATTTATTTATAAAATCAGTATTAAAAATCAGAGCATCACGCTTTAAAAAAATAAATCATAAATTTAACTTAACTTTATAAAATAAAATTATTCTTTACATATATATATATATATATATATATATTCTATTTTAATTATATATTATTTTTTAGTATCTCAAACATCAAATATAATTTTAATGTTGGGAGAGAGAAAATAATACATGTGATTGGTACCAACTCGAAGTTTAGAAAATAATATGTGTCAACCACTTGCTTGGGTGTGGCATCAAGCTTTCCTACAAGTGTTTGTCAACTTACAATTTGTGTAGTATATACGACATGCTGTGAAAAGGGAAAAGCAGGAGTGAAAATAAGAGGCGAGAAATATATTCATTAGTTTGGTAAATCTTAGTTGAAACTTGTAAATGTAGACCTTTTGTGTTTTAAATTTCTTTGTAAAAGTGGGAGGAAATATCATCAAAATTTAAGAGAGAAATGCGTGACATCATTATCCCTTATCTTGTGAGTCTTCTCGCATATACAAAAAGGAACAACTCGCGTCGAACGCATTCACAAGTATATTTTAGGTTCTAAAATGACAGATCTATATATTTTGAGACACCATAATCTTTTAAAGCTTATGGTCTTTGTTTAACATGCACGAAGGTATCTCACTAAAAAAAAAATGTAATTTATTAATTTCTGGCGAATAAAAATCACTACAAATCTCATTATCGGCCGTCAAATTTACAGTCACTAAAAACTGTTTGTGACGGATGTTTGCTCAATATTTTAAAAATTTCAAAGATGAATTAATTTTTTTTTTAATCTTGAAAATTTTTCAAAAATTTGGAACATTTTGGTATATATCAATTAATATTATACAAAGAATAAAAGCAGGAGGGGCTAGCTAAATTCAAGCATAAACCATTGAGACAAAATATATAGTTATAGATAGACATGACAATCTAACTCGTCTTCGTGAGTACCCGCCCGAATCTGCCTTAATTTGGATAGGAAAAATTCGTGTTTATTAGGTTCGGGTTTGGGTTTAGGTTTTTCTCGATTGATAAAATCGAGGGCGGGGATGTTAATACCCACC